TCTAACTGTCAGGAAATTTCTTCTTAGTTCTAGGTTGCTTCTCTCCTTGATTAGTTTCCATCCATTGCTTCTTGTCCTGCCTTCAGGTGCTTTGGAGAATAGCTTGACTCCCTCTTCTTTGTGGCAACCCCTGAGATATTGGAACACTGCTATCATGTCACCCCTAGTCCTTCTTTTCATTAAACTAAACATTAAACTAAACTAAATGTGCTGTTTAAGCAGGCAAATTGGGTTTATTGGAATTTTGTAAAACACCAGTAGTATAAATCTAATGGACAAGGCTTCAGGTAGATTTAAGATCTTAAGAATTGCTGTGATACATAGTTTCCTTTCTTCTCCAAGGAGGTCAAAAGCAATGATTCCATGTTAATCTGCCTCTTAAAATGGAAGGTCCATGGTTGCAATCTAAAATGTTAGCCAAAGATAGGGAATCCGTGTGGCCCTCCTCTTCTCTCCAGATGCTGCTGTACTACAATTCCACTTAACATGGGATGGAACAAGCTGTCAGAAAACACACGGAAACCATTAGCTAATCCATAAAATGCTAGCAAGGGCAATTCTATTTGGAAAGACACCAGTACAGTGAGGGGGAAAATTATTTGATCCCCTGTTGATTTTGTACATTTGCCCACTGACAAAGAAATGATCAGTCTATAATTTTAATGTAGGTTTATTTTAACAGTAAGAGACAGAATAACAACAAAAAAATCCAGAAAAATGGATTTCAAAAAAGTTATAAATTGATTTGCATTTTAATGAGTGAAATAAGTATTTGATCCCCTATCAATCAGCAAGATTTCTGGCTCCCAGTTGTCTTTTATACAGGTAACAATCTGAGATTAGGAGCACTCTCTTAAATGGAGTGCTCCTAATCTCAGCTTGTTACCTGTATAAAAGACACCTGTCCACAGAAGCAATCAATCAGATTCCAAACTCTCCACCATGGCCAAGACCAAAGAGCTGTCAAAGGATGTCAGGGACAAGATTGTAGATCTACACAAGGCTGGAATGGGCTACAGCACTATCGCCAAGCAGCTTGGTGAGAAGGTGACAATAGTTGGTGCGATTATTCGCAAATGGAAGAAACACAAAATAATGTCAATCTTCCTCGGTCTGGGGCTCCATGTAAGATCTCACCTCATGGAGTTTCAATGATCATGAGAACGGTGAGGAAGCAGCCCAGAACTACACGGGAGGATCTTGTCAATGATCTCAAGGCAGCTGGGACCATAGTCACCAAGAAAACAATTGGTAACACACTACGCCGTGAAGGACTGAAATCCTGCAGCACCCACAAGGTCCCCCTGCTCAAGAAGGCACATGTACAGGCCCAACTGAAGTTTGCCAATGAACATCTGAATGATTCAGAGGAGAACTGGGTGAAAGTGATGTGGTCAGATGAGACCAAAATCGAGCTCTTTGGCATCAACTCAACTCGCCATGTTTGGAGGAGGAGGAATGCTGCCTGTGACCCCAAGAACACCATCCCCACCGTCAAACATGGAAGTGGAAACATTATGCTTTGGGGGTGTTATTCTGCTAAGGGGACAGGACAACTTCACCACATCAAAGGGACGATGGATGGGGCCATATACCGTCAAATCTTGGGTGAGAACCTCCTTCCCTCACCCAGGGCATTGAAAATGGGTCGAGGATGGGTATTCCAGCATGGCAATGACCCCAAACACACAGCCAAGGCAACAAAGGAGTGGCTCAAGAAGAAGCACATTAAGGTCCTGGAGTGGCCTAGCCAGACTCCAGACCTTAATCCCATAGAAAATCTGTGGAGGGAGCCTGAAGGTTCGAGCTGCAAACCTGGTGGCCAACTACAAGAAACGTCTGACCTCTGTGATTGCCAACAAGGGTTTTGCCACCAAGTACTAAGTCATGTTTTGCGAAGGGTTCAAATACTTATTTCACTCATTAAAATGCAAAACAATTTATAACTTTTCTGAAATGTGTTTTTCTGGATTTTTTTTGTTATTCTGTCTCTTACTGTTAAAATAAACCTACCATTAAAATTATAGACTGATCATTTCTTGTCAGTGGGCAAACGTACAAAATCAGCAGGGGATCAAATACTTTTTACCCTCACTGTAAATATTTTAGCAGGCTACTATAATCAGCATTTTTTAGGCATCTTGGCTGTGTGTGTGTTGATCAGCCTGCCATACATGTGACAATTAATTTAAGCATCTTTTTTTTACTGTTGTTCGGAGGAAGTTGAAAATTCTCACCTGAATCACCATAACATGTCATTTTTGAATCAACTTTTCTGCTTAGAAAGAATAAACAGTACAGAGCTGTGGATTTATAAGGATATTTTTTCAAAAAAAATTCTAGAACTCCTCACACTGCAGGATAGATCAATATTATCCCCTTACAGTTCACAACAGGGATGATGGAAGGGCATGAAAGCATAGGACATTTCTGTTGGAGGCAAGAATTTGCACAGGTGGTTTCCAGAGTCCTAATCCCCCTCTTTAATACTTGCCCATTAATAAGGATGATCATTTTACTCCTGTTTCCGGCATGGGCTACCAGTTCCATCATACGTTAAGGTCAAACTGTTGTTCTTGGTATTTTCTAACTCAAGAATCTCATTTCTTCCTATACCTCTGCTTGTTGGTATATAGAGTACTTGCTTGTTTACTTCCTTTCTGGTTTGCTGTGTTTCATGATTAAGATGCCTCTGTTTTCATCTTCTGGAAAATTGCTGCCAGATATAGGACCAGTAACTGGCACAGATCTTTATTAAGGCAACTTAAAATTGAAACAGTTCTACCTGAAGAACTATCCCATTTATCTGAACATAAAGGTGTCAGAACACTGGGCTTCACTTTCACTAGATCTACACCCTACCCCATTTTATAAGGCCCCACCCACAGCTTCTCAAAGGAAATGAACATTAGTCTTGTAAAAGCAAAGTCAAGGGGATAGTGGAACCAAAACTTAAAACAAAGCCAAAGGGAGCTAAGAACATGCAAAGGAAAATTCAACCGTTTGTACAAACCATCTTGAACACAGATTATCTGGGACCAAAAAGCCCATTAAAGAGTCTTGTGAAAGCAAATAATGTCCCATAGCTATAGAAAGTTCAATCAGATAGAAAGGGAAGACTGAAAACTGGGCTTGGTGAGGGTGGATATAGAATGGGAAAAACAAATGAGGCCCTAAAAAGGAGCACTCCTACTGAAAGGTGAAAATATGTTTAAAAGTTTTCTTCAGGTCCTCCTCATTGCTGTGTCAGCTAAGTGGCAGTAACTAACTGACCGAGAAAGCTAGGTAGATTAAACCTGGTTAATATTTGCATGGAAGACCATCATAAATCCCAGGATTGTGCACTAGACTAAGAAATCTCCCAGAAGATAATGGCAAAGCATCCTTGTACTGGAGGGGTATTTTACCTTTATTTCATTGCTCTACGGAGGCAAAGCAACATCAGGCAAAGAACTTTGAGGATATGTCCAAAAAAAGTGATGTATCAACTCCACTCCCACTTTCTAAAATGCAATTTTTTGCTTAGCAGAGCAAATTATTAATGTAATTAATTTGAGGGAGTGTTCCTACATGACATATTACAATTTTCTTCTGGGGAATTTTTTCTCAGGCTTAGAGGTAAAATGAAGATCACTTAGGACAGACTTCATCCCAAGTGGTGTGCAGTTATCTCAACTTGAGGTATGGGTAGGCTGGGAAATTCAGGTACTTATCTCTTGAGCCAATCACTTTGTACATAAGGAAAAAGGGAAGAAATACTGTAAAAGCTGATACTTGCCTTCATGACCTCAGGGACGGCAACTATCAGAGCAAGGTTTTACCAAAATATTAAACTAGTACCTTAGCATCTGCTGCTATAATCCCTGGGCTTTTTAAAACAAAAACAAAATGTTTAAATATTTGCATCAATAAAACAGACACGTAAAACTAAATCTGAACTGGGAGAAAACGTCTCTTTTTTAAAAAAAGTAAAGAAAACCCATGAAGACAAGACATAGCAACACACAGTACAAAAAGAGTAATTATACCCCCTCTTCCCCCCCCCCAAAAAAAAACCCAAAAGGGAAAAAAAAGCTTTACCACAATTTTGGAACACTTTACCTGTAACAGAAAATGGGCTTAAAAAGAAACAGGACCAGATTTTCTACAAACCAGCAGATGGATACAAACACTTGTTTTTAGCAACTCAAGACAAGAAACCTTTGATACAAGTATTCATGAACAATAAAATTTCTTTAAAAAACAAAACAAAAAAGGGTTGTAGGTGGAGGCGGAATCACAGGAGTCGAGAATAAAAGAACAAAGCAAGGAAACGAGGTACCAGAAGAACAAAGCTCCCATGATATCTAAACAATTAACCATTGTTCTTGGATAACTCATTCCAAGTAAAGAATTTCAATGGTTCCTGAAAGCTGATAATGGCTGCCTCCACCCTATCCCTGTCTTCCAGGAAGTGTATCCTGGAGCAGTTCCTTCATCAGCACTTTTAAGAAGCTGCCATTTTGACAAGTTATATTCACTTGTTTCTTTTTCCCCCCAATTCATGTACAACTGCTACCAAGACAGAGCAATCTTCTTATCATGGCTGGATGGTAAATGCAGAAATGTCAGTAGGGTCGGAAGGTCTGATTTTGTTTCAAAAGTCTTTCAACAAAAATTCCACTGATGCTTCCATTCATGGGATTCGTTTTACCATGGCCAACTCATTTCCCCCATTCCCCGGTTCATTCCCCAGACAAAGGAGAATGCCCTCTTTGCTCCAAGTATATCAATTTCTTCTTCTATGCTGTCAGATGAAGAAGCCTCTTGTCTTTTTTCACCTTAAATTATATTTAAAATTGTGGAATGAGATTCCTGGCCAATCCTTAAGTTTTTGACTCAGCCAGTCAAAGGAAAACACACGGACAATGTAGCAACAGAAGACTGAACAGTCCCCCTTTACCCAAAATCTATCCCTTCCCCATTTGCCCCAAAGTTGACTTGATGCTGTTTTTCTTTTGTTTAAAAGTCTGCATGTCCCAAAGCACTCTTCCTCCCAACCCACCCACAACAAATTAAAAAGCTCCACAGGTTGCATTGTCTATCTGGTGGTCAATTTTGGAGAAGCAACTGTTTCTGTTGCTACTTCATTAAAAAGGGAGAGAGAGTGACAGGGGTGTGCAGTGGGGGAGCCAGCCTTAAGATTGCTTCAGCCGTTTGCGTGGAGGTCCCAGAAAGGGGCACTGTGCAGAGGCCAGTGAACGATATGCCTCTGCCACCAAATGAGGGTGAGATACTACCATCGACTTCCAGCCTGAAGTCTCCATGACATCAGAAGCATGGCTGAAAACAATAATCAAGAATTCAAGATTACCAGATTGAAAAAAAAGTTCATGAAAATCAACAGTGACATAGCACAGCAAAGGAAAGTCTCAAACTTTGATACTTATTTTTTATATCTCAACTAAATATTACCTATTTGAAAATTTCCGTAGGCACAAGAAACTGGATATTTTTCGCTACGTATCTCTGGACATTATTCTTTTAATAAAGATGCCTCTATCCCCATAGGACTATTTTGAGGCTTATTGATGGATTAATTTGATTGCTGCCCAACTCAGGTATTGTGACTCTGGGCTGCATACAATAAAACAAGGTAAACAAAAAAGGCAAATAATCCCAGTTAAAATTGGAGGAAGGAGAATTAGTATTACTGCAGCTACCATCCTCCTTGGCAAAAACAGTTGAATAATGTTGCCTTTCCAAAAAGGAGCTTCATCTATATGTGCAGTAGAGCTGTTGGCTGATAAATCCTGAGAGCTGCAGCTCTAACACAACTGTACAAAACTATCTTGGGGAATGCTGTAATAAGAATCTAGCTATTCAACAGAAAAGCAAACAATGGAGCAGCTGCTGGCTATTTTCCATCTCTCCAGAGTTGATGGCAACATTTTAAGGTAGGAACAAACATTTCTAAGGAGTCGGGAACTTTGAGAGAAGTTTAGCTATACTTAGACACAACCCTCTCACCCTGATATCCTGCAAAGGATCTGAACTGCAAATTTTATTATCCCCAACCAACTTTGCTATTCTGGGAAGAATGATAAGAGGAGAATTCTAGGGTATCTGGAGGGTGCCAGACTTTGGAAAGACAGCAATAGCACTTAGATTTATATACTGCTTCATAGTGCTTTACAACCCTCTCTAAGCAGTTTACAGAGTCAGCATATTGCCCCCAACAATCTGGGTCCTCATTTTACCAACCTCAGAAGGATGGAAGGCTGAGTCAACCTTGAGCCGATCAGAATCAAACTCCTTAGATACCCTAGCTTAAGTAAAATGCCAAAACATAGCTTTGAAGATTGCCCTTACTAGATTTAGTTCACTAGAGAGCCAAATAAAAAAGCCACTTACTAGTTTATGAAGTCAACTGCCTGAGTTTTTAGCTGGTCAGCACTGTGTAGATCAGCCAGTATTAGGATCTCTGCTGCATTCTCCACAGACAGATTGCTGCACAATGCATCCTCACACATCACTTTCAAGCGTTCCAAAGCATACTGAAAAATATACCCCCCAAAATTGGACTGTTTAAACATAGATGCCAAGTTCTTCATAACTTTCCAGCAACATCAGAACAAAGCCCACAGAGGATAGTGAGCTGGATATACTTAACAATATAACTAATGTAAATATCTAATGTAATTTAAATGGGTCTGCAGTAAACATCCATTTTGGATCTAATACAATCCCACATTATATAATAGGAATCTTTTTGAGCTAAACTTTCACAATCATGCATAGATGATGGGTACCTGTCAATGTTGCTCACAAAGAAAGGGAAACCCTATTGCTTAAAGAAATGTCAATAAATTAGAAACAGAAATAGTGCTACACTTCCTCCTTCACACTGCTGCTGCTTTTTAGCCAAAAATATTCAAATTAGGGCCAACCTTGGATCACAGAACTGAAATTAAAAGTATAGTAATTAATTTGCAGAATTTATTTTCTTTGCTGAACTTTAAAGCTCTGAGCATAGGGAATATACAGGCACAATAAAACAGCTTGCATATAAACCTGGACCAAACTGAACCATATACTGTATGTTAGTTCTTCAGGCATCACAGCATCTCTTCCCAATCTTCCTCAAAAATATTGGAAAGACAAAAATAAACTCACTAATCACATCTTCACCCAAGAGCCCAATGGCAGTTCTCCAGGGTTTCAGATAGGCATTGCACTTTGTTTATGGTAAAATTATGTATTTTTCCCAAGAGACTGGAAGAAGACAGAACAAGCTGTTCCCTAAGCTCTTGGGCAAGTATTAAGAGGTTTTATGTGCTGCCATAAAATGTTTTGCTTTCTGTTTTTCATTGTTCACTGGATAAAAGCTACACAAATAATTCACATTTCTAAAAACCCATCCTCCTCAGCCATGTCCCCACCCCCAACACTCTATCTCTGCTTCTAATTCCTACAGCAGGGGTGTCAAACTGCCCGCCCGTGGGCCGGTTTCATCATACCAAAACCGCTCCCACCCCATTGTCAGCAATGCAAAAAGAGTTGCGATACGTCGCGACACGTCACGTGATGTGTTGAGTTTGACACCCGTGCCCTACAGTCTGGCTACTTCCGGGTGTGCTGGGACAAAATTAAGTATAGATGCTGGAAATTCAGGGAGAATATTAGATTGGAGGCAGCTGGCCAGTGTGGAGCTTGATTGGAACAATTTTAAGCTACTTGCTGAAGTGTGTACAAAGAAAGAGAAACATAATGAACCTAAAAACTTGGTTTCACTGATATCCATGTATTTTATCCTTAACATCAGAATATTTTTTTTTTTTTTTAAGAAATTTTATTTTTTTTTTCAATCATAAAAAACAATCACAAGTAAACACAATAACCAATCAATAGCCCCCACCCCCCCCGGACTTCCCAAACCTAATCCCAGAATAATATTCATATAAAAGTAAACAAATACTAATATCTCTAACTCTACAAAATATCTTAATCTACAAGAAAAGATAGAAGAAATAAACCAACTTAAAAAATTCTAAAAACCTAACTTATATTCTACCACTTTATGTTTCTTTTGAATATAAACAATCCATCTTCCCCATATTGATAAAAATTGTTCATTCGAATGGTTCTTCAAATAAACTGAAATCTTTGCCATTTCAGCAAGATACGAAACTTTCAATCTCCAGTCTCCCATCGTTGGCAGAATTGGGCTCTTCCAATTTTGGGCTATTAACAATCTAGCAGCAGATAAACAATAAAGCATTAAATTCATTTCTTTTACGTCTAAATTCTGCGCAATACCTAAAAGAAACAACTGTGGGAGAAAAATAATCCTTTTTTTAAAAATCTGCTGTAAGTTCCACCATAATTGTATCCAAAAAGCCTTGATAGTCTTACAAGTCCACCACATATGAAAAAAAGTTGCATCTGGATGACCACATCTCCAACACTTGGATTCATAATTCGGATAGATACGAGACATAGTTGAAGGATCCAAGTGCCATCTATAAAACATCTTATAAAAGTTTTCACGTAAATTTTGAGCTTGTGTAAACTTCACATTTCTCACCCAAATTAACTCCCAAGTGTCCATAGGTATTGTTTCTCCTACGTTTTGAGCCCATTTAATCATACAGTCTTTAACTAATTCAGTTTCTGAGTCCAGTTCTAATAAAACATTATATATCCTCTTGATATGAGCTTTGGCACCATCTCTTATTTGCTTCAAAAAAATCCCATCTTCCAGAGCAAAAGAAGTCTTTTTATCAATTC